TTGCTTTGGTTAATGAACGTTGGTTTCAGCATGCTGAAGCCATAGGATCACAGCTGAAACAAGTTTAATTGCCAACTTTGGCTTCATCTGGTCTTAGGACCAGAGGAAAAAAATCACTTACCTAAAGTTACATCGATTTTTCATAGCAGAACTGGATCAGGACTAATGACTCCAATCCAGAGATTTTTCTGTTACATCATACTCCTCTTAGAGTCAACATCCCACCCCGGATAGACTCAAGTGCTGAGCATGAAGAGGTTCACATGTATAGGCTCTGTGGTACAATTCAGCCTTTTGAAAGGGGAGAGAAGAGAAGCACCAGGAAAGTGATTAGAATAAGTAGTAGATGAGATATCCAGTTTATGAAATGAAGTGCTCACAACTGACTTCTCAGTGGTGACTTCTCATCCACCAGGCAAAGGCAAGAAAGGTCCTAAGTATTGTTCTGGGACTTCCTTTCCTGTTTCCCTAGGCTGCTCCCAATCTCTGTTTTGCCACTGGAATGTAATTTCTTTAAATTTATGTTTCAACTGTACATAGAGTGTCTGCACATGTTAAGAAGTTCAAATAGCTTCTAACTATGAAAAGTAAGCCGTTCTCCCAACTCTGCAGCTCCTGCATCAGTCTCTATGTTCATTCCCAAAGGGTCTAGCCTTGCATTCTAGCCATCCTCTCAAAGTCTGGGCCACTGTTCAGCACAGACTTTCATGGAGACTCCTTGGAGAAAGTGCTTTTGAGCAGAGTGGTGGATGAAGGCTTGATGAGAATGGACTAAGTGGAGACTGCCAGGTAAGAAAACGGGGTAGATAAATGTAAACAAATCTTTCACGGAGCTGGCTGTAGAAAAAAAGCAAAAGAGAAGAACCGAGAAAATAGTTACTATTTGTTTAGCAAACACTTTGGATAATTTCTTCTCTTTTTCTACCAGGATAAGAAAGGGACTTGCCTATCCTCCTGTGTCTTGTAAGTTATTTAACATCTAAGTTACAATGGAAATAGAAATAATATTCAGGTAATTTTACTAAAATGTGCTCAACTTTTGAAATTATGCTTTCCAACATTTAACTGAACCCTAGTTGACTGTAAAGAGCAGTCTCTACATTTTTAACACAGTATTTTCAAAGGAAAACACAGGTTGAACATCTCTAATCCAAAAATCCAGTATTTGAAACTTTTTGAATGTCAGTGTGATGCCACAAGTGGAAAATTCCACACCTGACCTGATGTGATAGATCACGGTCAAAACTTTGTTTCATGTGCAGAATTATTAAACGTATTACCTTCAGGCTATGTATATAAGGGGTATAATAACACATAAACTTCATATTTAGACTTGAGAGTCCCATTACCAAGATATCTTTTTATGTATATACAAATATTCTCAAGTAATGTTAAAAAAATCTGAACTCTGATACACTTCCGGTCATGAGCGTTTCGGATACGGGACACTCAACCTGTGCAAGCTGAATGGGAAGAGACCACAGGACAGGCCGTTTTCCATGATCTCTCCTTTGCTGCCATCTAGTGACAGTTTTGTGTAACGTCAAATATAAAAAGCCCGTCTTCTAACAATGAAGTCTTGATGTGGTTATTTCCTCTGCCTATGCCGCGCCCTCACTAGGCTGGAAGTATTTCCAATCGAGCCTGGGGATTTAATCTGCTGGTATGCATCAGCGGTGACACTTAATCTCCTCAAGAGCGCTTACTAAACTAGACTCTGGGTCCTGTACAAAGTGAGGCAAGCTGACTTCTGAAAATGACATATGGTATGACTACAGCACAAGCAAAGGTCATGAGAGCATCATGAAAAGCCCATTATCGAACAAATAAATGGCACTACATTGCAGCCAAATGCTTTACAATGAGAAATGAGTCTTTTCTATCAAAATGTGCAGCCATGTGTATGCATTGTTTCATATTGTTGGTACTGTATCTTTGGGAACAATCTCTGGAAAAATAATTTCTAGATCAGAGTAAATGCACATATACTTTTGCTAGATATTGCCAAATCCCTCCTCAGTATGGGTTGTAACATTTTATATCCCACCATCAGTGCCTGAGTTTGGCTGGCTCTCCATAGCCTCACCAACAGAGTAGGTTTTACATGTTTGATAACTTTTGATAAATAAGTAATAGTAGGTCCTTGTTAGTTTTGTTTCTCTTATTGTCCTTTCAGCCAAGGTTCAGCCAGGAAAAGAGAAACCAGACCAATCATTCTAATAGAGAAAATGGAATACAGGTACTAGGTTAAACCAAATTGGTGAATTTATAAGGCAAAGAAACATGGATGTAACAGAAAGTCTAACCAGCTATATTAAACGATGTGGAACACACAGAATGGCTTCAGTTTTCTCACTGAACCTGGACTTCTCTTCATGGCTGTTTGCCCCAAATCATCATATTGCCCCTCTCTGACTCAATAAATTATGATATTTGGCCTTTTAATCCCACTGAATAGAGAGGCTTCTAGTATCCTAGGGGACCCATTTAGATTGCCCTGAACATATATAACCAGGGTCTCCCTGGGATTTAAGGTTATTCATCTCAGCTGCTTCATTTAAATTGGCATATCCATCCTGAATTCCTGAATTCAAAAAAGCTGTGCCTGAGAGATCTCTTGACAAATTGGGAGGTAGCATAACATATTAGTGACCTGGTATTATGAACTTGGCACAGTTCCTGAAATGCTCTATGATGTAACCGACACTTATGACAAAGATAACATATAAAATGAAACTTACAACTAAGTCAGTTGATGTATTATTGATTTAAAAGCTCTAAGTAAAATACTGTCAGATATTATAACACTAGGATTATAAAATGCCATTACTTAGTACGACTAAATTGCTTTTTATTCTGATACATTACCAACCATATGGGTCAAAGAAACAAAATAATCATCCATAAAATGACCATGAAAGATTTCATCTTGCTGATATTTAAATGCAATGATTCTAAGCAATAGAGCTATTTGTACTTGGTTTTACTGTAAGGAATGCAGCTATGAATTATGTTTCTGTCATCTGTGTCTCTTCATCACTCAGCAGTAGAATTTATCAGTTTCAAACTGGTCTGGATTATTTTGCACTTCTTCTGAACAATAAAACAAGAAAAACAAAAGTAATTCTTTTACCAGATGTCACAATGCTTTATTTTAACAATGACAGAAAAGAATCTCTTAATCATCAATTTTATTACAGAACCCTGAATTTAGGAAACAGCCATTACACTTATCCCTAAATAAGATTAAAGTAGGCAGTCCCCCTAGTCACCAGGCTGGTGAGAAATCCTACTTTGGAGCCCCTCAACATGTCTAGGGTTATATTACACTAGGCCTTCGTGTGGACCTGGAAATTGGAGGGAGGCCCTGTGGCCTTTAGTTCGTCATGACAGCAATTGGGAAGTTCAACTGTCAAGCTGGTTGGTCTGTTTGAAATCAATGTGGAACAGGGACCAGAGGCTCTTGCTTTTGGAGGTGAGTGCTGGCACCCACTCAGCATCCTCTCATGGGTCCTGCCACACTCAGGCTCTACATGGTGGAGGGACACTCACCCCTTTCTCCCACGTTTGAAGACAGCATATCAGTCTCAGGATAGATTTTCAACTTCCAAGGCTGATGTCACAGCATGTTCTGGCAACTCTATATGTGGGGACTTTCACCTCAGGCCACAGAGTCATGGGATACAAATAAAACACAAACAAGCTTTAATGCTGCCTTTAAGTTTCAGTAAGGAACAAAGGAAAGGGTCCCTAGGCCAACAAAAAAGAAGTATTACAGGGTATCGGCTAGAAACAGAACGAGAATGTGGGGGAGGCAAGGCAGTGTTTCTCAACTATGAACCTCAAAAAGCTGTTTTTTCTCACCAGGCCACTGAAAGGACAGAACTTTTAGAACGGGCGATTGGGTCCAGAGATGCACAAAGGCAGTAGGATGGGTGCATCAGTCAGGACAGGTACCAAATCCACTCTGAAATCTGGCCTGTCTCGACTGTTTATTTCTCACTGATGTTGATACTAAAAGCAGGTTGGCAAGAAGCTCAGGAATTACCTAGAATGCCCCCTCCACTTTGACCTGGGAAATGGGAGCACAGAGAATCATGAAACAGCTTTTAAAGGCATCACTGACTCAAATGGCCAGACCTAGTGTTGTTTCTCACAGCACTGTAAGGGTGCTGGGAAACGTGGGGCGAGTACTTGGCATCTGCTCACCAGATATCCCTCTTTCCTCTTTCACACACAACGTACCATCTCTCCAAGGAAGACAACCACAAATCCCTTAGTCACTACACTCTGAAAACCCTGGGATGTCTCTAGACCAAGCCTGGCTCCATCTATCTCCCACTGGTCCAGAGCTCTACTCACCAAAAAGATCCCATATCTGTGCTCCTCTCCCCATGTTCCCCAACACAGTGGAGGAACAGAGTAACGCATACTTACGCTTTATACTAAATAAAAAGTGCACAGGAGACCTTAGTCTGTGACATTTCTGCTGTCCTGAAAGGCATATTAGCTGTTAAATTATTTTGAACAACACTACTGTGGACAGCCCTGTTTGCTGTCAAAATGGACAAATTCCTGAAATTTAAGAAAGAAGTGTTGGTTCTGGCCAGAAGCTATCCCAGACACAAAACTAACATGAATAGCATTGATAGTAGATCCTAAAATGGCCTGAGCCACAATCCTGCCAAGAAGTGACTTGGCTGTGAGTAATAGGGTGGCTAAAGATTGCTTTTTTCTTAAAAAACAACTGTGATCACCTCATACTTACAAAACAACCTGTGAATATCCTGTTGAATGAAACTTGTCAACAAGGCAATTGGGAAGTTCAAGGCTATCTTCTATGGCCCTGCACTCAAATGCAAGGCCAGGAGGAAGGCGAAGTTCAAGTTTGAGGACATCAAAAACAGGCAAAACAAATGACCCATCCAAAAGTTGTGATTTTAGATCTGTTGTTTAAATAATTAAAACAATTCCCCAGGAAAAAAATAAACAGAAGGTAGTAGTATACAAAATATTTCATTTTTTATTTTTATGAATAACTGTCATTAATACAGCAGAAACTGATATGATTATAAAAGATACCAAAAAATCAGAAAAATGTTAGCATTCAATAGAAATTAAAAACCTGAGCGGGAGGCTCATCAGAGTCTGACACTTGGCACCATTCTGATGGAAGTGAAAAAACATGTTTGCCGGACTCCTTAAAACAATTCATGTAACACAGAAAGAGTTAAATTTCAAAGGAGCTACAATGCACTGACACATTACATGACTTTTGTTGTTGACAAACATTGAAGCAGGGCTATCTAATCTCACAGTCTTGAAGGCAGGGAGGTGTGTAAATCATAGATTTTTAATTAGCAGGAAGCAAGTGAGATTTTTCTTGGTGAAATAGTTTGTTTACTCTTGTAGATCTAAAAGGCTAGCTCAGTCTGTCAGAGCATAAGAGAATGCCAGAAGAGGTCAAGGGCATGGGGATGGATTGACATGAATCCATTCCAACTTGTGGAAAACAAATGACACAGCAGTTACCATCACAAACAATAGTATTAGTAGGAATTGGAGACTTGAGGTCCAATTCAGTTCTCATTTGGATTCTACAGTTATCTCTTACTAAAAATTTGGTTTTAAAAAAAAGAAAATCAACAGGGAAATTCTTACTCCTTTAATTAACAATTGTCCACAAGGAGAAGGGAAGAAATAAACAATAGCTAATATAGATGGGTCTAACTTCTTAAAAATCTGTGAGCTGGAATATATTTTAATATGTTGAATCTTGAGTCATACTTATAAACCAATGGTTAATATACTACAAAACTTTACAAACAAAATCTCATCTGTTGCAGAACTTCAAAACTAGTGGAATTAATTTCTTCTCCCTTTTATTTCTTCCACAGAAAGTCCTAAAACTGAGTAATTACTGGCATGCCTGCATTCACAAATATATCCTCAAAACATGATGGTTTTTGAAAACGGAAGTAATTTCAAATGAGGTCAAGGATGTCATACTCCCTCCAAACGTATTTTCAGTTCTTTCTGCTCTACGTCACATAAAAAAGAAATGAGGGTAGCTGGACTCACGTAATTTCTTTCAGCCCAATAATGTCATTAAATTCCCAATGTTTTCACACTAGCAAAGATCCAGTATTTAAGTGATCTACTATAAAGCATCTCTATTTCTAAAAAAGATTCCTTTCATTTTTTTACTTTTTCTTAAGAGGGCTCAAAAAGCTGTCAAAAAGCCCTTTACTTAACGAAGACCAGCCACAGACTTCCTTCCTGTACCAGCTTTCCAAGAGGATAAGTGAGTCTTCACCCTGATATTTTTGCCCCGGGTTTTACGAGGCTTCTCTTCTTTATGTACCTTCATGTGCTGCCTCAGATGAGAGCTCTGACTGAAACATTTGCCACATTCACTGCACTGGTAGGGTTTCTCCCCTGTGTGGGTTCTCTGATGTTGAATAAGGTGGGAGCTCTGGCTGAAACACCGGCCACACTCATCACACTGATAGGGTTTTTCTCCAGTATGAATTCTCTGGTGCTGAATGAGATTTGAGCTCTGTTTAAAGCTTTCTCCACACTCATCACATTTGTAGGGCTTTTCCCCAGTATGGATCCGTCGATGCTGAATGAGATTAGAACTCTGAAAAAAACTTTTCCCACAATCAGCACATTTATGGGATTTCTTTCCAGTATGGATTTTCTGGTGTTGAAAAAGAGTTGAACTCTGACTGAAACTCTTTTCACATTCAGTACACTTGTAGGGTTTGTCATCCAAGCTTCTTCTAAGTCTACTCAAGCTGGAGTCAAATCGAATAGTCACGCCCCACTTCTGCTGCTGCCGGCCTGTTTTGCGCTTGTTCTCATAGGCCTTTCCTTGGCTTGAGCTCCGGGAAATACCTGCTTTAGGCTTTGCTAACCTCATGGTGAATAACAAAATGTGTATGTATGAGAGTTTACAGGCTTCTTCTGAACTAATGTTTCATTTCCCAGAGGGGCACAGCTCAGAATCTTCTGTGTAGAAGGAAAAAAAATTACAGATCAGAAAAAAAATTACAGATATGTTAATTACTCAATTTGAATACCTCTTCAACCCATCAAAACTGCATTCATGTTTAAATTTAAAAAGTATGAATGCAAACAAAGATAATATGAGGGGAAATTTGGGGAGAAATACTTGCAACGTAATTCTAATAGTTCCAGAGTTTAAGCTTAACAAATATCGCCAAATTTTGAGTTTACCACTGGAGTTTCTACTGGGGCAGGACAAAAAAAAGAAAAAAAAAATTGATGAGGTGAAATAGAAATTTTCTAGGCATTACCATTTTGGAGGTCTAAAAAATGGAGATAAGGTAAAATCTTAATGGAAATGGAATAAATCCAAAAGACAATCAAAATTTGTGTAATAGAGTATCACTATTTAAAAATATTTACTTCCACGTTAAACTTCTACTCACTGGTGACTGCCTAATTAAGGTATCCAACTGAATAAGAAATGACAAATTATACTACTTTATAATATAGTCCTGTTTATCTGTATTTAGCCATTCGATTTCCATAGCTCTAGATGACAGATTAGCTCTAATTCTGTAGCATAAAGTGTTTTGAAAATTGAAACTACTCTACAGGGAGCAGTAGGTTTACTTAGTCTATGAAGACACACTTTATTACTGGTTTTTTAGATCCTAATGATCCAAGAAAGCAGACAATTTGTTGAAAACCCAAAACAAAAGTATTGTTTTTGGAGAGAGAAAAACTGCAAAAGGACTTTTACCAGATAGTGGAATGAAAGTGAGTAGAAAAAGCATTAGGTAAGTAGAACACACACAAAACAGAAGGGGACAAAATGAGTTTACATGTAAAAGTAAGACGGAATTAAAACAAAACAAAACAAAAAACTAGGACGGAATTTTTAGAATACCCAAATGATGCAAAATTCAAAATTTCAAACAATTTTATTTATTTATAAGGCTGACTTGTGGCTATTTAAAGTAACAGCCAAAACAAGCCAACAAACCCTCCCACAAACCCTATATAGGTGGCAACATGGGAAAAGCTAGAACTTCAAAAGCAATAAAATTATTGGAACTACTTTTCATTATCTTGTTTCAGAAAGTAGACTTTAAAATAGGAATAATTACTCTGGGTTTCTTTGCATACAAGCATACAAAGCAAATAAAAGAAAACACAAACATCGTTTTTCTTGCCTTCCTTTCATCTTATTCTTTAACTGAGACTTTAGGCCCAGGACTTTATCTGCATATTTAATAATTACATCAGCTGTAATCATGGTCAGCGTAGGAGCAGGCTGCATGTAACACAAGATTACAGTTAGCACTAATCATTCCTTAACTTAAGCAAATATTTTCAGAACATCTACCACACAGGAGAAATTGTGTTAGATATATGATGCTGTTTTTTAAATATAAATAATTAATAATAGCTATAATGGCTATAAAAATAGCTACAATCTCTCTGCAGGGAGCTGTCTTTGCATATAGTAATTATACATATTTTTTAATACTATGGAAGTCAGATCTGTAGGCAGTAGGGCAGAGATGCAGAAGCCCATGTTTCAGCCCAGATTCTGCCATAACCCGTGCTGCAACCTTCCTCGTGCTGGGTCTCAATGTCCACTCTGTACGTCAAGTGGACCCATTAGATGACCCCCAGATCCCTTACAGCTCTCAAACCCTACAGGGTTTTGAGAAACTCAGGCTGCCAAATCCATCTACAGACGAGGCAATCATACTAATAGGTAGCCTATGTACCAGACACTGTGTAACTTGATTCTTTGCTAACTCTTTAATTCTCCTGGCACCTTTATGCAGTTATTTCCGTTTTATGTTAAACAAATGAGGGCACAATGCTAGAAGGGACTGGCCGGGTTCCCAGACCAGTACTCTTCGTGGCAGCCACATCTTCCATCGGCCAGTCCAACGCGGCGACCCGTGCTCTGCATTATCTCCCCAGCACCGGCAAGCATAAAGATAAATCTGAATGACGGGAGCTGCTGTTTCTGCACACCTAGCCAACTAGAATCTGCCTCAGTTTCCTCCTAAAACTGGGAGGGTAGTGATAAAGCGACACCACCATCAGGATGTCAGAATCTGCAATGAATCTGAAAACCGCTCAGAGCATCCCTGTTCTGCCTAAGCATTTGTTCCACATATCCCGTCCTCTAACGCTCCGAGCGACGGAAGGGGCCGAGGCTGCTGCTCACCGGCCCGGTTCCACCCGCCGCTGGACGCGCCTCGCCCGGGGCCCCGGTCCAAATCTCTCCCGTCCCCAGCCCTCCGCCGGCCGCTCCTCACTGACCCGGCCCGCCCGCCGCGCAGACTGCGGCCCCACCCTGGGCCCGCGAGGCCCTCCTGCCCCAGCCCGGCGGCCAGGCCCTGCCCTGAGGCGGGAGGCGCCGGCCACGCCATCGCCCGGGCCCGCGCCGCCCTCGTTGCGGCCAGCGCGCTCCCGAGAAGACCCGAGTACCCAACGCGGGTCCCGCGCGCCCCAGGCACCCTAGGCCCACTCACCGTGCGGGATCAGCCACCACCCTGGCTCACTAGGCGCCTCCCGCGCCGCCGGAAGTGAGGGCCGCGCCGCGCTCTGGCGCCGCCACCGTCGCTCTAGGAACGTGGTGGAGCGACCCTCTATGGTCCCGGGCCCACCCGAAAGTGTTGTTCATTTTTTTTTCCTGTCGTTTTATTTTCTCCTCCCGCCCCTCGGAAGGCGTCCCGTGACCCCCAAGACCTCAAGAGCTGTAACCGCCCCTGTGTGTTGTCGAGGCTTTTGAAACCAAACTCCAGCCTCTCCAACCTAGAAACTATATACTTTCTACAAATATTGAGCTTTTTGAGAGCCTAAAAAGTTTCGGCTACTTTTCACGAAGTCAACTTATTTAATTATCACCATAAAAGCTCCTGCAAGATGGGAGCAGTTACATTCCATTTATAGGAAAGGAAACCAAGGCTCAGAGAAGAAATTTGCTCTGTTCACGGTGAGTAAGCGGACGCCCCAGGATAGAGGTTCTTTGTGGCTCCAAAGTCCGATTTCAACACACCCCTTGTGTTGCTCATTAGTAATGATCTCTCTTGGTTTTTCTTCCTTCCAGGCTCCTCCTCAGCCATCCTGGCCGTGCTCAGTCATCTGACCAGCCTACCTCCATGTTCCCTCATTCCCTGGGAACTCCTCCCGCCTCTCGGCTTCCAATGCTGTTGCTGCATGTTGAAGACACCCGCACTGATAACTCCAGTCTGACCGTGGGACGCAAATGTTATTGAACTCCAGACTTGTATATCGGACTGATTACTAAAGAGCGGCATTTGCGTGTGTAATGGACATCCCAAACCTAACACACCCCAAAAGGAATTCCTGATACCTACCTGATCTGTTCTTTCAACAGTGTTCATCCCAGAAGTGGAGGAAGATCCCGGCATCTTTCCAGTTGCTCAGGCCAAAACCCTTGATTGTTGTCTCTAATTTTTTTCATCCAAAATTCACCTGTGATTTATCTGCAAATTCTGTTGGCTTCATCTTAAAATATATTATTGAGCCACTTTCAACACTTCCACTGCTATAACCAGCAAGCCACCTACATCACCCTTCTGGATGATTATATTGTCTTCCCTGACTGCAGAGTAATCCTCTTAAAGTAAGATCATGTCATTCAATTTGTTCAAAACATTCAAAGGCTTCCCAACTTATTAGAGCAAAGTCAAGGCTTGGCAGTGGCACGTGGCTCCTGTCATGATTTGTGTCTCTTTAGTTCTTTATTGTGTCTGCAATGCTAAAAACAGTGCTCAGCAGGGAACAGGCACTCAGTAAATATTTGTTGAATGAATGAATTTATAAGATGCCTTATTGTTTACAAAGTGCTTTTACATCTGTCTTCTGCTTATTCATCTTTACCATAGTCTCACGAAGCACAGATTGTCGTATCTGTCTTGCAAATCAGTAAACTGAAGCAGGAGAGGCCAACTTGCCTGATGTAATACAGAGGGTTGTTGGTGGAGGCTAGACTAAGTCACAGTTTCATTCTCTTAAGCTGGGGCTTTCTGCTCTGCAGGGAACTGTCTCTGCATATGGTAAAGCACAAAGCTGAATTCGATCTGGACAAAGAATCTGCACTCACAATCTAAGAGTATCTGGACTATTGCAGTGATTAAATGAGGTGAGGTAAGGCGCTTAGCACAATGTATAACACAGAATAAGTGAGAGTCATTGCTGTTACATTTATTATTAAGTTATTATTGTAAATTGGTTGATGCTGGTGGTTGGACGGTTTGGGGTAAAGGGCAATGGCCAGAGATCTAGAAATGGTTTAGGAAAAGTGTCAGGAGCAAACACGACCTGTTGGAACTGTCTGCTCTGCGTACACTAAAATAAAAAGATAATTAAAAAAAAAAAAAATTCATGTCCACATAAAGGTGGATTATCCCTTTTTCCTATACCTGAAAACAACTGGGCCAGCCATAGAAGGCCCAGAGGTATGTTGACTAAAGCACTGGGTAAAGAAGGATGCATTTTTTTTAAAAAAGAGAGATGAAAGTCAGGAAATAAGGGGGTATGGGTGCCTAAGTGTGGACAGAGTTCTAGGCAGTAAGGGTGGAGAGGAGGGAGAGCCAGAAAAAGATATGAGGAAGAGGAGGGTAAAGCAGAACGGGAAGAAGACAAGGAGAGAAAGCAGGTAGGGTTTTATGCCTTCGGCTTAGCTATTAGTATAATAATAAACACTTATCGAGTGCTTATTATGTGCCAGGCACTGTTTGCAGCGTTTGAGAATCTCATGTGAGATTCCCGCAGCATGATTGTTGCTGAGAGTTTGCTCCACCTTCTCTGATAGGTCCCTGCACTTTGTGGTGTGACTCCCGGTGCCTCCTGGTGAACCACATGCCCGTCCCACTGATGTTGACTTGACCACTGACTTGCACTGGCTGACTTCATGTGACTGGAGGCAAGGGGTACACCACATCCTGGAAGAAGCTTTGAGTCACTGCCTTTCTGCCAGGACTCTGCTCTTCCCCTCTGCCTTGAGAATAGCATGTCCCAAGTAGGGGCTGCCCCCTTAGTCTAGGACCCAGGATGAGAAGACACATGGAGTAGAGCCACAGAAGCTCACTGTAGCCACAACGGTCCCATGAAACATGAGAGAAACAAATGCTATTGTAACACGGAGATTCTTGGTGTTATTTGTTATTGCATTAAAGTTGACTAACGTACCTCCCACCACCCTTAAGAGATAGGAATTGCTATTATTCTGTGATATTATGAAATATATAGTTGGTGGGTTTCCTGACATACAACTTCTAAAATCCTTAGAATCTCCAAAGTGATGTCTTTTTATATCTGAATGAGTTGACTGGTGGCTGGCAGCCCCTGGGTAGCTTCAGGATGGGGCTGGTCACTGGAAAGACCAAGGCAGGATTAGAAGAATGGCAATTTCAGCTTCACCCCATCAACATTGGGTGGAGGAGGGTGACTGAGGGTGAAGTTGATCACAAATGGCTGATGGATTTAATCAATCATGCCTATGTTATAAAGTCTCCATAAAAGCCCCAAAAGGACTGGATTCGATTGAGAGCTTCTGGATACCAGAACACATGGAGGTTCCTGGAGAATGGGGTGTGCAGTTGGGGGTGCATCAGGGAAGAGGCACGGAAGCTCCACATTCTTTCCTTCATATTTCACCCTGTGCATTTCTTTTTCTGTATCCTTTGGAATATGCTTTGTAATAAACCAGTAAATGTGTTTCCCTGAGTTCAGTGAGCGCCTCTTACAAATTAACCCGAGGAGGGGGTCATGGGAATCTCAACTTGAATTGGGTGGTTTACAAGTTCCAGAGACCAGGACTTGTGACTAATAAGAAGGGTGGAGACCATCTTATGGAGCTGAGCCCTCAACCTATGAGAGGTGATGCCTCCAAGTAGATAGTGTCAAAACTGACTTAGAGGACACCCAGCTCGTGTCCCTTGCAGAAATGATTGCTTGGTTGGTGTGTGGGGAGAATCCCCCACCCCATTTGGTCACAGAAGTCTTTTGTGATTATTGTTGCTGAGTGAGAGAATAATAGAAAGCACTTTGAGTTTGTTTTCTTCCACACAGAATCCCCATTTCACAGATGGCAAAACTGGGGCAAGAAACTCGCCCAGGGTCACACATATTTATAAGTAGCAAAGCCAGACTCTGAAGTCAGAAAATCTGGCTTCAGAGCCTATTAACCTCTCAATAACAGTGTATCTCCCAAATGGGATTCTAGGTAATTTTTATGCAAATTAAATTATTGAAAATGGTCATACCTAATATTTACAAAACACAAAGGAGAAAGGGAACAAGGGCATGGGAGGCGGGGGGTGGACACAGTCTGGGCATCTTCCTGCACATATTTCTGGGGATTCTGGCCCAAGAGAGGCCAGATCCCCTTAGTGGCTAGGGCGTCTCTGGGAAACTGCCCAGCAGGGGCCAGTGTGCCCCTGAGCCCAGTGGTATTTGAAGGATTCATTCTAGGAAGAAGGGTCTTCTGGGGTGAGAAAAATCCTGGCAAGATAGTTTCATTTTCCCATGTCTTGGTCCCCTGCACACTACTGGCTTGCCTGTGTGTGTGCGCGCACACACACTGTCTCTCTCTCTCTCTCTGTCTCTCTCTCTGTCTCTCAGCAGTGAGCACCGCTGTCTTGGGTCTGTGTTTGGCAACACGAATCCCCAGCCCAAGTGACAGAAAGGCAGTTATAGGTGTGGCTCATGTGCAGTAACAAGAGTGATCCTTCTCCCATGAAGACTTCTCAGCCAGGGATCCTGAACAATGGCTCTCTCCACCAAGCCTGAGTTTTGTTTCCTTTGGATTCTCTGGGAAAGAAAAACCCTGGGAATTCCCATTCCTAGGTCTGAGAAAACATCTCTTTTAAAGGTCAGGAGGGCAAAGGGCCCCACCCTGAACAACAGGAGTCTTGGGCAGGGCATGTGAGCAGCTGGCCTGATCCCAAACAATTGCAGCTCTCAGGGCCTAAATATAGCCCAGGCATCTGGCTGTTTTTACATTCAGTTGCTTGGCTCTGATTGACCAAGCTTCCCATCTGATCACTGCTGAGAGGCTGAGGGCAGGGGGCTGCTGCCCACCACTGCACCTGGCAAGGATATCCCGCTGCCCCTCTGCAGCTGCCAGGCACCTGTGTCCTAAACACAAGGGGCACATTTTGCATGGCTGGTCCCTCCACAAATCATCTGGTCAGACTGGATAAGCCTTGGAACTCATTTCATTGGGACTAAGGGGCCAGATGTATCCTGGGTGAACCCTGGCTCTATTTTCCAGTGGATAGGTCTTTAATCCATTTTCTGGCAAACATTCCAAGCAGGTAGCATATGGTTATCACCGAGGAAAAAACAAGATGTTTCGATCCCTTCTGGGAATTTGTTCTGGGCAAACAAACTTGTTTTTCCTGAGTCCAGTCCTTTTGCAATCATGCTGATTTCATCCTGTGCTGTTTATTATTCCCTCTGGTTCTGGTTATTATTCTCTCTGGTTCTTGTACCCTGGCAAGATAGTCCTGTTTAGGAGACAACACTCTCCCTTAGGGATCTTTGCTTTATCTTTGGATACCTTTATTACCTGAGACACTAGGTAGCCAAGGGGTATACAGGAAATACCCAAAGCTCTATGGAGAAAGAAAGTGGGGTTCCCTGCAGGAACCAGTAGGAAACCACAGAGACCAGCCTCTAACATTTGAAATTATGGGGTTCAGATTTGCATCTGAAAAGCAAATATGATGTTGATTAAAAAAATGTGAACTCTTCAGCTGAGTGAAGTGTATACCTTTTCCCTTTTTCTGAGTCACTTGCTAGTGACTGTTCAGACCTGTAAGGTTCAGAAATTAGTTTGGAAACACCTATTTTAAAAGTGACACGTATCCAAAAAGGCCTTAAATAATATTGTAATAACTTGCAAAAGTAAACCAACCAACCAAACAGGCTGGTGCTTAAAGAGGGTCTCCTGCTCCACTGGCTTCCTGTGTGCCAGGCCCTGGCCTGCTCCCAGCTGGCAAGTGTGTGTTGGCCTGCAACACCATGTGTCCTTCTTAACTAACTCTGCCTTGGCCTCGGGCTCCTTGCTCGACTATCTCCTGACCCTCCCAGTGTCTGGCCTTCTTCCGCTGATGAGGAAACCCCTAGACACAGGGCAGACTGGCTCCATCTTTGTGCCTCCAGGGCCAAGCACAAGCTCGGCACAAGGCAGTCAGATGAACAATGGGACAGCAGCTGTCCTACACCTGAGGTTGTAAGTAACAGCTTGGGAGTACAATTACCCGGGAGCTTTTGTTTGATTTGTTTTGGACCCTCTTCTAGGCCCTGCTTCCATCCCACTTGATCCCCTGGCCTGGAAGATTCCTGGGGCCCTTCTGATGCTAAGATTCTGGGACTCAGGGTGACTCTATTGCTCATCATCCAGGTCACGTATAGGCCTCCACCAGTGACACCTGCGTGTTCCATGGCAGCCTCCCCTCAGGATCCACACTAGTCCCTGGGGAATGTGCAGAAATGAAGGAGTCATGTCAGCTCCTAAAGCAGCGAGCTGTGGCTCTTCTGCCAAACATGGCCACACATCCTTTAAGATAAGAGTTTCAGAAGGTAGAGCTGGGCCTCAGGGTGGATGCACAGACAGAAAAAAAAGAAGAAAGCTTGATTCTCATGTCTTCAATACAGCATGACTTTATTCAGCACCTAAGGATCTATGCTGCCAGAGGACAGCGGAGTCTACCAAACAGTGGGCAGGCCTCCCCTGCATCTCCCTGTGTCTGTGATGATGGAGCTGGGTTGGGGAAATCCTGCTGTGACATTTGCCCTGACGAGCAGCTCCACACAGCACAGTGGCTTCCACGCTCTGCTCTTGATAGGCACTGGTAAGGAGCTCCTACATGCATTAGAGATGGAGCCTCTCCTATCTTTGCAAGTCTTTGTGGTTCTTCCCTTTAAATCTGCCATCCACAGACCTCAACAGGAGAATAATTTGGTCTTCAGTTTGCTGTTTCAGATAAACACTTAGCATGACTGATGTCAACTGTTGCATAATTTTGCAAAGGCTTTCTCATTCATTCCAGAAATTCTCCATCAGTCACAAACACAAATTGTTAAATATCTGGCCTTTCCCCCAAACAGACATTTTTTTCCTTATCATTTTTCCTTAAGGGGAAGTATTGAAAGTTGTCCCCACACACTAGAGGAGAGAAACACAAGCCCAGAGAAGGCAAGAGGCACACAGGCATCCACCGGACAGTGGTGATGGGGCTGAGCACCGCCTTTCTGAGCTGCTACTGGGCAGTGGTGGACCCTCATCCACACAGGGCAGCACCCTCTCAATGCCATGTGGACCCTTCTCAATGTGATTGAATGGCCGTGCTTCTTGCAGCAAGCTCCTTATAAGAACCCCTTTAGGTCACTCTGATGAAATAAAGGCTGTTTTCTGCAGAGAAAGAGATACTCGTGGCCTTATTCCTGGTTTCACCTCTGTGCCGGGGCCCTGAGCTGTTCGAGGCTCACAAGGTGACATGGAGGCTTAGAGGCCTGGGGATGCTGTGGCAAGCTGATGGCTGAAAGCAGTCTAGTCTCATACCTGCTTGCAGGCCCTGCTTTTCCCAGTAGCATTTCTGCAGGGCAACATGATGTGAGGGCAGGCAAGAATCTCATATAAAGGAAGAGGACAAGGGCTTGTGGCCCCACAGGAGCTCAAAGACAGGCACTGAGCACGTGGATGAAACCTAAACTGCAGAGGCTGCGCCAGCACTGCTGTCCAGTGCAGGAGAGGCGTGGTGTCCGCAGGGCTGGCCACATAGATCTGACCCAGCAAGTTTCTGGCCTCTCCGGCCTGAATCTGCTTCCTGTGGGTGCTCACGTCAGAGCCAAGAGATAGGGCTGCAGCAATCATGGTGCTCAGGCTTCAGACAGGTAGATGCACAGGTGCTCGATTCCTCAGGCGGTGACCAGCAGTCAATGTGACCGGCCAGGACCAGCCACCAGGGCTCAGTGTGCACCTGCTCCGGCTGGGGACTGTGGAAGAGGCAGGTGCTTGCCAGCTACTTGGCCTCCACCAGCTGCTCCAGGCGCTGCAGCATCGTCAGACGCAGGGCTTGGAACCTGGAGGGAGACATCGCCAAGAAGACTCACGCGGACAGGGCAGGGAGGTGGGCAGCAGAACGAGGGACCTGCAGATGCCTGGCTCAGGAGACCCCTTCAGCAGCCACATCTCTCCTTTGCCAAGGAGAGGGAAGGCCGTGGCCTGTGCCTCGTGAGGAGCAATCAAACCACTGTGGACTGCACAGAGCATCAAAGCAGAGTGTTGTCATTTTATTGCAAAGACTCTAACATAGACAACAGTGCACTGGAGTGGATGGGGCACGAGGGCAGAGATCCAGAAGCCCATGTTTCGGCCTGGATTCTGCCATAATCTGTGCTGCAACCTTCCTCCTGCTGGGTCTCAATGTTCACCCTATATGTCAAGTGGACCCACTAGATGACCCCCAGATCCCTTCCAACTCTCAGATGCTACAAGGTCAGCATGGCCTGCAGAGTGGAAGGTTCCCCGTGACTGCAGTCTCCTCTGTCTATGTGGGGTCTGGCTGTACAGATGGGAGACTGTGGAGAACGTGGTTTTCCAAGAGTCATTCAACCAGATGCCAACATCTGTCCTTTCCCCACCCACCCCAGGCCCTCTCAGTGAGCTCCTGCCCTTTCCTTCCTAGCTGCCTACCCGCCGGCCCTGGTGGGGTGTC